GCTGCCATGGCTGTCCAGAATAACTCTGGAGTTCCCAGGATGAGCGGGGTGTCCCCCAGCCTGCTGTCCCTGATGGCTGCAGCACCTGCAGGTGAGAAGGCAGGGTTGTCTCTGACCCAGGCTGCTGAGGCAGCTGCCAGGGCGGCAGAGGAGGAGGCCAGGCGGAGGGGGCACCTGGCAGGCGAGTATGCAGCCAGCCTTTGTCACCAACTGAAGCTCCTTCGCCAAGACCTCCACGAGAGGCAGGAGCAGTGGGCCTCTTTCTGCTCAGCACTGATGGAGGCTCAGCAGCTGCTGAAAGCACGGACAGGCTCCAGGCCAGAGAAGTCCTCTCCAGCTGGGCAGAACTCAGAAAGGTGTGGACCTGGCCAACCTGGGTCAGACTTAGGGAGACAGGAAGTGGGGAGGCGTGAGTGTGTCTGATAGAATTCCCGAACTGGTCAAAACAAAACATGCTTTTCCCATCCCCGAGCGCTCCTGTGCCCCTGCAGGGCAGTTCCCCAGCTGGACACTGTGCTGGGCCACCTGTCCCAGGTCATGCTGCAAGAGGGCCACCGCCTGAAGGCCTGGGGCATTCTGAGCACCGGCATTGGGGCAGAGCTGCTGCGGCCAGGTAAGCTCTGCCTGCACCTCAGCCAGGGTCCCCCAGGAAAACTGGCCCTGAATCAGGGTGACGAGCCCTGCAGAAACTCCAGTTCCACCCCCAGACACACAGCAGGGGAGGCGGAGTAGAAGAGGGCAAAACAAAGCTGACACCCCAAGGTCGGGAAGGGCTTGTGTCAGGGTGGGGTGTCCTGCCCAAAAGAAGAAGGAGCCGCAAATGTGGGAAGAACCCAGGAAGAAACAAGCCATGGCAAGTTGGAGCTTTATAGAGCCGGTGGCACTTCCTGAAAATCGAAGCCCACCTCATTCTGCAGCAATCTTCCACTTCCCACAAATAAACACAAAAAAAGGAGCCCATCCCATGACTCCACCTTCCCCATGACCCTGATACAAGGAAAGGCAAGAAGTAGGAGTGGCATCTTCCTGGAGTTTATCTCAAGCTTTCTAGAAATTACTCTCTGCCCAAAAAAAAAAAAAAACAGGGTCAGAATTGACTTGAGTTTGAAGACCTGCCCCACAGTTTATTAACTCTTTGACCTTGGGCAAGTTATTAATACTAACCCCTCCCTGCCACTGTTTTACCATCTTTTAAAAGGAAGAGTAAAATCGTGCATATTGGCCAGGTGCAGTGGCTTACGACTGTAATCACAGCACTCTGGGAGGTCGAGGCAGGTGGATTGCTTGAGGTCAGGAGTTCGAGACCAGCCTGATCAATATGGTGAAACTCCATATCTATCTACTAAAAATAGCCAGGCATGGTGGCGGGAGCCTGTAATCCCAGCTATTTGGAAGGCTGAGGCAGGAGAATCACTTGAACCTGGGAGGTGGAGGTTGCAGCGAGCTGAGATCACATCATTGTACTCCAGTCTGGGCGACACGGTGAGACTCTATCTCAAAAAAAAAAAAAAAAATAGTGCATACTTATAGCTTGAGTTGTAGGACTGAGTGAAATACAACTTCTGTGGAGTTCTGAGTTCAGATTCTGATGAATGGCAGGTGCTCAAGAATACAAGCACCCCCTTCTTTGAGAAGTTGTTCTCAGCTTCTCAAAAGGACTGATGCCACTCAATTCCCACTTGCTTCTTCCAAAACAGGCCATTGGGACATTGTCCTTTCTTCCCTTCTGAATTCAGAATGCTAAGTTGGGCCCAAAGGAAACCAATGCAGTGTTTTCAGGGAACCCCCTCTGGTCAGGGATGTAGTACTTTGAACCTGGAAAGACTTCAGGGGTGATGCTAAACCCTCACCTCCTCCTCTTCACTCCCACTCCCCCTGGTACTAGGAATGATGTGCTATCCCAGGACAGAGCTGTGGGTCCCAGCCCTGTATGGAATGGAGATCCCAGATCCTGAGGGCTCGGGGCTCATGGTGCCCATCCTGGGCATGGAGCATGCTGAGAATTCGGGTGATGCCACACCCCTGGCAGGCTCAATGGAAGATGCCCACAGCAAAGGTAAAAGAGGACTTGGGACCTCTGAGAGCTCAGGAAGAGAAACCCCACCCCCCGTAAAGCTCAGGAGGGGGTACCCAGGTGCCAAGGGAAGGGGTCATTCTGATCTTCTGCTAGGGCTGCTGAGACCCAAAATTAAAGGTGTCCAGAAATTCCAAAACCCTAGGACCATAAATCATGTATGCCTCCTCTAGAAAATTGGGTCTTTTCAAAGACCAGCACTTCGGAAACTCACCACCCATGCACCCCAGGGCTGTGGCCACCAGGAGCCCTATAACCCAGCTCAGAGCCCCTTGAAGGGCCAAAGGAGGTCAAGGGCTCTTCTGGCTTCCTTTTTGCCATGCATCTTTCTTCCTATGACTACCCTTCCTTCCTTCCCCAGCTCTAGTTTCTAAACCAGTGGTGGGCTTGGCTTCCACAGGTCTTACCCCAACTTCAATCAGGGCTCAAGCCATAGACCCCTTGACTGGGGATCCTGGTCCCGTCATTGGAGCTCAAAGGGATCCCTCTTCCAGAGTGGTGGTGCCCATTGTCCAGGTGCTGGAGTCCTTACCTCGAGGAGTGAGAGACCCTGGTCTGGTATGTAGGGGGACGGGTATTGAATTCATTTGTTCATTCATTATTCACTCAGCAACTACATACTGAGAGCTGTGTTCCAGGCGACACGTTAGGCATTGAGATACAAGGACAACTAGATAGGGCTCCCAGGGAACTGGCTGGCCGTGGGCCTTAACCACAGTGGTGGTTCACAAGGGTGTTAGGAGAGCTCGGGGGAGGGCATCTCAACACACAGAGGAGAGCTCAAGGCTTCCCTAATGAGGTAACACAGGCAGCAGAGAGACAGCCGAGAAAGTCGCTCCAGCCTCAGGGAAAGCAGATGCAAAGACAGCAAGTATGAGAAATGTGTCTTCCATCATGAAAGCCACAGGGAGCTGCTGAAGGGTTCTCGACGTGGGATATAATCGAATATAAATGTAAGACTTTAAAATTTGGAAAATATGAAACAATACAAAAAATACGTTACTCAGACATTTTTTAAGTATGTCAATGAAAAAGCAAAAGCTTCCCTGCCCATTCCTCTCCCTCCACCCACGGTCAACACCCCCACGGCATCCCAACCAGTCACTCCTTCCCTCTCCCCCCGTCTCTCCCGCCAAATCCAGCCACTTCACAAGTTGGCACACCTCCTCCATTTATTTTTATGTTTATGTATGTGTATGTACAGTCAGCATTCTAGAAAGCTCTCCCTGGCAGCTGTGCGGAGGATGGATGGGAGTGGGGCCAGACTAGCACAGGAAGCCCCGTCAGGAGGTTATTGCAGTAATTCAGCAGTTGGCAGATCTCCACCAAAATGAAAATGATTTAGAGCCCCCCATACACTCTCAGTCTAGATAAGTTTCAGAAACTATGGTAAAAGGTATGCAATAAATAAAAGGTTCTTGTTACCAGCCAAGAAATGACACCACTGTTTCACAGGTCAGTGTGTCTTCACTGTATGAGGGGGGTGAGAACAATTTCCTCCCGCCACCTGCCCATCTCCTCTGGACTTCCCAAGAGATGGGTGGGGGCAGGAGGCACTGGGGACTCTGGAGACAGCAGGTGTCACCAGGAGGGAGGGAGGAACCAGGGAGCTTGAAGAAAATATGCAGTCATTTTTCTAGCTGAAACCAAGTCATTGGGAGACCAAGGTGGGAGGATCACCTGAGATCAGGAGGTCGAGACCAGTCTGGCCAACATGGTGAAACCCCGTCTCCACTAAAAATACAAAATAATTAGCCAATGTGGTAGTGGGCACCTGTAATCCCAGCTACTCAGGAGGGGAGAATTGCTTGAGCCTGGGAGGCGGAGGTTGCAGTGAGCCGAGACCACGCCGTGGCCCTCCAGCCTGGGCAACAGCACGAAACTCCATCTCAAAACATAAAAATAAAAAAAAAACCAAGTTGATCACCTCACCAAGTTTAGTCGTGGATGCCCGAGGTCAGGGAGGGCTATTATCTTGTGAAGCTTTGGGGATCTATAGTCAGACCACGTGGGATCATGAGCAGAAAATGCCAGTAAGCCCTAAACAGGCTGGACTTTGTAGCTGGATGTCCTGGAGCGGGAGCTGAGGGCCCGGGAGCAGTACTGGCACCACCAGGAACAGGAGGAGGAGCTGCTACTGGATCACCTGGGGCACCTGAGCCAGGAGCTCCACTTCACTGCAGGCAATGGCATGGAGCAGCAGGTGAGACACAGAGGCACCACCTCACCGTCCCCACCTACCCATCTGCCAAGACTGCACAGTTTTCTCTTTGAAAGTTTGGAGTCCTTCTCTCCCCCAACCACAGGAATGAAATCCATCTTAGAGAAGACACAGTCCCAAGATTCCCCAGCCCCAGGCGCAAGATTTCAGTCACCCCCAAGTATCTAAGCAGGACAGAGATGGGGAGGAGGAGCCACCATGAGCCCCACCCAGAGCTCCTGCCTTCCCCTCCAGGGCCCATTTCTTTGTCCCTTCTGTCCTACATAGCTAAGGGCTGCTGAGGAGGCCTGCCAGGCCCTGGAGTCCCACTGCCTGCAGGAGATGGAGAGAAGAGCCAGGACTCTGAGCACACACAGCAGCCCAGAGTGGGGCCTGCTCTCTCAAGGTGGGAAAGCACCTCCTAGGCTCAGATCCCCACAGCAGAAATCTCCGGGGAGTGGCGTCACCACCGATAGCTGCCCCGTGGGGAGCCCCTCCTGCCCTCTGAATGTGCTCGGCTCTCCTGGCAGGTTCCCCTTACTCCGATAATCTATTGTCTTTTCTTCACCTCCCTACCCCTTTTCTCTGCCATTTGCAGCAGACAGAGAAGAGTGGGAACAGGAAGTGCAGGTGGTGCTGGGTGTGCAGAAGGTCCTGCAGAGTTTAGGGCAGGCAGCAGAAAAGCTCAGGCAAGCAGCTGGCCGGCTGCAGGGCCAGGAGGAGGAGATGTGGCTGCAGCAAAGCAGGAATCAGAGTCCACAGGTCTGGAACCGCCCCAGGAAGGTGAGGCTCTGAGGCTGACGGGAGACCCGCATGTGATGAGCATATCCTCCCATGTCATCAGATGTGGCTCTCCAGCGCAATGTAATATTCAGGGGTAGGTGGGCTCAAGGAACCATGGAGGTGCTGGGAGGAGAGGAGGAAGAAAGGGAAAGAAGGCCCATCTTAACTTGGCCATTACGCTCCCTGTGTTCCAGGTGGTTCATCGTCTCTCTGATGAGTTCCAGGGGGTGGTAAGGGAGAGACAGAACTTCCTGGCTAGGGCCCTGGGTCAGCTACAGGACCAATGGGAATGGAGCCGCCTCCAGCTCCTGCATACCCAGGTGCTGATCCCTGGACTGGATTTGACCGAGGAATCTGTATTTCCATCTTTGACACGGGGCCTCAGAAAGAGACTCCCAAGGCAACCACGTGGGACAGGTGGGGACCAAACACGGAACTCAGTGCTGACTACTTCATCCTAGGTGATTGCCTCAGGAACCCCTGTGTGTTTGGAGAATTACCCTGGAGACATATTCTATGGAGCAGTCACAACTTCTGTCAGGAACCGGGCCGCTGCCTGTCCCATGTTGATCCCTTTCCTGAAGCAACTCACTGCAGCACTAGTCGGAGCTCAAGGGCTGGAGGATCAGAGGCCAGGAACAGGTCAGGCTGGTCCCTATTCCAGCGTTGCCTTCTGCTGCCAATCCTGGCCATGTTTCAATAAGTCCTAATGCTACACTTAAAATTCCCGTCACCATAGGAGTGTGTCCCCAGTAGGTTCTTTAGGAAAAACATTCGAGGAACCCAATGCATTAGTTATTGATCGCCATGTAAGAAATGACCCCAAAATCTGATGGCTTAAAATGACATTTATTTTCTCACAGTTTCTTTGGGCTAAAGATCTGGATGCAGCTTAGCTGGACGTGTCTGGCCCAGGGTCTCCACAAGCTACAAGTAGGCCAGGACTGCAGTCATCTCAAGGCTTGACTGCTGGAGGATGGAGGATTCACTTCCAAGCTCACTCTCATGGCTATTGGTAGACCTCAAGTCCTCGTTGGCTGTTGGCCAGAGACAACAACTCCTGCCACAAGATCTTTGTGGGCAGCTCACAACATGGCAGCTGACTTCTCTCAGAGCAAGCAGGCCAGAGAGTGAGAGAGGACAAGCAAAGTAGAAGCCAAAGTCCTTTTTTGAAACAGAGTCTCTCTCTGTCACTGAGGCCGGAGTGCAGTGGTGCAATCTCTGCTCACTGCCACCTCCGCCCCCTGGGTTCAAGCAATTCTCCTGTCTCAGCCCCTCGAGTAGCTGGGATTACAGGTGCATGCCACCATGCCCAGCTAATTTTTTTGTATTTTTAGTAGAGACAGCGTTTCGCCATGTTGGCCAGGCTGGTCTCAAACTCCTGACCTCAAGTGATCCGCCCACCTTGGCCTCCCAAAGTGCTGGGATTACAGGTGTGAGCCACCACACCCATCCCCACCATCTTTTTGACTCTTAATCTCAGAAATGACAACCCATCACTTTTGCCATGTCCTATCAATTCAACTGAACCATTAGATCCAATCCACATGCAAGGGGAAGGAATTACACGAGGGCATGGATACACATTAGGGGGTCGCTGGGGCCATCTTAGAGGCTGCCTGTCATACCTAATGTTGCATCTGGCCCCTTTTGGCTTTGACCACATTCCTAGGCCCTCACCCCAATAACCATTGTATTCCCCTCTGTTCAGATACAGATAAAGCTAACTTCATCTGGGCTTCACCATTCTTCTCCATCCTGAAGAAAACAGACATCTGGTCCCAAGTCCACAAGGAAGACACTGAACTGCAAAAACAAGTGTATCACAAACCAGGTAACCTCCTTTTCCCTTGTAGGCCCTGTTTGGAATTATCATGGGAGCACTGAAGGTATGTAATGGTGTAACCCCTGGGGTCTAGGAATGTTAGAATCCTGCCTTGCCAAACATCTCTTTCTCTCACATCTCTTTCTCTCTATCCTCACACTAAAGTTCCCCAAGTGATTTTCCCATATAAAGAACAACAAACAACAATCAAAGTCATCCTATAATTATAACTAGGCCAATTTCCAAAAGGGAATTTCCAAAGACCTCTGCCTTCCCCATCAAACACTGAATCTAAATCTTGGGACTTCACCCCATACCAGCCAGCCACATGTTAGAAGGGGCTAATGGAAAGGTATAAGGCAGGAAAGGGAGAAAATGAAAAGGGACAGAAACAGAGGAAATGAACAAAGACGAGACCTTGCTCCCCAAAGGGACCCCAAATCACTTTATCAGTGCCACTCCTTGGAATTGGAAGTCAAGAGAGAATGTGGCTTGCCTAACCTGAAGAGCCAGGTCTGTTTCAACTGACACACCTCCCAAATGGAACAGAAGTAACAAAATGGATGTGTCCCTGTCAGTAGATCACAGTGCAGGCTCCAGGTAAGCACAGAGGCATGAACACCCCTGAACTTGAGCAGGGAAGTGCAGACTATGGCCCCCAGGCCATCTCCAGCCTGCTACCCGTTTTTGCATGGCCCACAAGCTAAGAAAGATTTTATATTTTAAAACGATTAGAGAAAAAATGATAAAAGAATAAAAATTTTATGGATTGCTTTATAATATGCCATATACTATTCTAACTCTTTAGATATATTAGCTCATTTACTTTTTACAACAACCTAGAAATGTAGGTTCTATTACTCATCTTACAGATGAGGAAACTGAAGCTCCTGGATGGGTCAACTGAGTATTCAAAGATCATACTGCTAGTGAGTTAGTTCAGCTGGGATTCAATCCCAAAGAGTCTTTCCCCAGACCCTGCGCTCTGCACTTGCTTCCTCAGATGAAAACTTGTTCAACACTATAAAGGCAGCGCCAAAACAAGATGCAGGTAACACATTTTGGTGAGTTCCCAGGAGGGCAGATCACTTGCTTTTCTGGATCAGAGAAGCAAGAGAAGGCTTTGTAGGAGAATGAGGCCATGCTTCTACCGTAAGGTTGGGGAACACTAACTTTGAGCCCTAATTTTGGCTCTTGGCTAACAAAGCCTAAAATATTTACTATCTGGCCCTTTACAGAAAAAAAGCTTACTGACTCCAGAACTTGACCAATCTTATTATTAATTCCTCCTTCCTTTGGGTGAAACTAAGAAGGGAATGGCAGAGAGGTGGGCTGTCCTTTAAGGGTTCCCATCCCCACTTCAATTTTCTTCGTCTTGCCATTATACTGACCTTATAATTTTGAGAGTAATTTTATATACATTGTCTTGTTTACATCTTGTAGTCTAGAAGATAGAAGATTATTAATTACTTTTGATTAGATGAGAACTAATGTTCAAAGAAATTCAGTGACTTTCTTGGAGTCTTACAGAACCTGGGCCAGGACACAGGTCCGACTGCTACCTCAGCAGTCGTCCCGAAACCTTGCTATCAATCCATTCTTTACTGTTCCATTCTTAACTATAGTTAACATTTGCTGAATGCTTACTATATACTAGACACTGTTCTGAGTACATTACATTTAATGCTCCAAGCAAATCAAGGAAATAGAAGAAGAAAATCTGCTGTCATCTTCTCTGGACCCTCATTCTGTCCTGGCCCCTCTGTTCCTAATGACTGAAACTCTATCACTTTTTCCATAAAGATGGACAGAAGAGCCTGTAGCATGATGCATATACACCACAGGAGGGGGATGGATGGATGGATGGATGGATGGATGGATGGTTGTAATAAAACCTTTTCCTAAATTGTGTTGTATTGTTAACATATCACTATTATACAGAAAAATTAGTAAAATTATTACTGGTTTTTCCTGATCTCTGTAGACCCAAAGAGCTCTTTACAGTATCTTCTACAACCACAAACAGTGCAAAAGGAAGAGCTGATAACTGTGCAACCCATTGGCCTTTCTGCCAGGGAGTTTGTGGTTTACCAGTATGGCCTCTCCATCCTGCACCTCCTCATCCCCCAGCTTCATGTAAGTTTTGTTTCTGCCTCTCCGTAGAGCACTCATGGAGCCTGGAAGGCCAGGGTAGTCAAGAAGAAGCCTTTAAGATGGCAGATATTCCCTAGGAATAAGCATCTAGAACAGCAAACTTTCTAGTCTCTCCTTTAAAGGGATTCATAGGAGTTATTTTACCAATCTAAAGTCTAATCTCTCGAATGATATTAATCACAGATAGAATGAATTAGTCACTTTCTACATGCCAGAAAATATTCTAATAATTTACACTGATTCATATAATCCTCACAAAAACCCTACGACACAGATACTATTTTTCCTATTTTAAAATTGAGCAGAAGAGACACCATGGTCGAATAAACTTCCCAAAGATCACACAGCCAAAAAGGCAGAGCCAAGGTCAAAATCCAGGCATTATGGCTGAAAAGCCCTCTAGTCTAGTCAATCTCTATTTAGAAAAGTAATAAATTGTCATATTTAGCATACATTTAAATGTACAGTTAAATACTCTTTCTGTTTTCCTGTATACTGAACCTACTTACCCTGTTGCAATTTAAATTAATGCCACAATGCATTTACTTCTCACCAGTTTGGTTGACGCTATGTAGCTGAGATACATGAGAATTTTTTAGCAAAAGAATGGGTTTTGTTTTCTGTTTTTTATTCTTTTCAGGCTCCAGAAATCACCCTGAAGATTGCTTCTCATCTTCCTGCCATGGAAGCCCAAGGCAGTGCCTTCCAAGATGCCTTCTTCTATCAGGTGCTGCAAATTCATTCCCAGATGTGGGTTATAAAATTCTGGAGTCCAGTAAAGATAAACAAAAGCAAAAAGAACAAATTTTATCATTTTTTCCTAAAATCCTGACGTATTTTATTTCCTCCTGGAAATAAGTCATTTAGCTAAGGCATAATAAATGTCACAGTGTAAGAGCTCTCCCTAATCAGTAAAATGAACATGTTCTGGCTTGTGCCCAGAGAAGCATAATAGTTTGGTGCCCATTAATAGATCTCTGTCGTTATCAAAGCCAGGGGTTCCAGGCTGGTATTTCCCGTAAGAGTTGTGGTTGCAGCTTGAGGAAATCCTGCACAATCAGCATCTTTCTACAGAAAAGGATCTAAATTGTTCCTGTCCTGGCAGTTCTTCAGATATGTAGATTGGAAGTGCCTTGCTGGCAACTCTAAGCAGGTCTATATAGACCTGATGACACTAATGACAGTCTATTGCTAAACAATTCTGAGAGGAGAAACTGCTCATCGATGCTGGAGGATTAGAAAAAGATTTACGCTTGACTAGTAGGTTGTCGGGGGATTTAATAAAACCAGAAACTACTCACATATAGTACTCTCCACACATTATTTCACTTGATCCTCAAAGCAACTCTATAAAATAGACAAGAATTTAATCCTATTTTACGGATGGGTAAACAAACTCAGGTTGTGGTGCAAGTGCCGTGTGCCAAGAACTCCGCCAGGTGCTTTACAGGCATGGTCTCATTTATAATTCACAACACTACGGGGTACTTTTGGTATCTTTGTTTTAGGAATTAGGAAATTGAGGCCCAGAGAGGCTAAGTAACTTCCCCAAATTCACAGAGTTAGCAAGAGTTAAGACTCGAGCCCAGGCGTATTTGACACCAAAAACTCATTCTTATAACCAAGAGTCTATGCTGCCACTCACAGCTTAGTCAAAGGATAGATCTCAGATTGTCTGATTCCAAACTACCTGAAGTTTTTCATGCCAACCTACCTTCCCGTAAGAGAATGAAAAAGGGAGTTATTTTAAATCAATAGGCAAGAGAGGCGACTTGAAAACTTGATTACAATAAGGGCATGGAAGATGAAGAAAGCCTGAGAGCTCCCTAAGGCAGTGATTCTCAGACTGCAGTCCTTCGACCTCCTGTACCAACCACTTGGGGAGCCCAGGAGAAATGGAAGTGCATAGAATCCACAGAACCAGAATTTTAGGGATGGGTCTGGAGAACAGAATCACCCCCTTATGATTCTCATTACACAAAAGTGTGAGAACCACTGCTTAAGGAACAGTGATTGAAGGGCATTGATAAAGAGATACATGAGTAACTCTGAATTTCTAAGTTTGTTTTCTGTAAGGTGGAGGCAGTAGGAAAACTTGGGAGACAGTAGAACAAATGACTTAGAGTTGAACTCAGTTTTTCCCTGGTCATTCGAATCTTCCCTTCAGTAAATTTCCATTAAGCTCAGAGAGTCTTGTTTTAGACCATGTGCCATAAACCTTGAGAAAGAAAGGGGCAGTGGAAATGTTACCAGAGGCAGACATCTCTGTGCTTGAGTGTTTTCTCCTCTCAGAGTGCAGAGAACACACTGTTCATTGGGAGAGAGTGCCTGGCCTCTGTGGGAAGCTTTGTTCTGCTGCTGATCCGCTGCCTGGCCCACATCACTGCTGGGGAACCCCACAGGGACTCCAACCCTGCCTTTTTGGGGTCATTTTACAAGGTATTTATTACATATACAGTGCATTTTGCTTCTCTTTCTCTGTGACTCAGACCCTGATCCCCAGGACAATAAATGCTTTAGGCTTTGCAACATTTCAAATCTACTTGAGTTCCACTGTGGCCTTTGGTTCCTCCTGCCTGGCCAGGAAGAGGATTTTCCTAATCAGATTTCCCATGGCAGCATATGACAAAATGCACGTACCACTGCTTCACAGAAGTGGTTTTCCTACAAGCACAGCATCTCAGCTTTCTGTGGCTGTTTAACTGTCCACACATAAACCACACCAAAACTGCTAAAGACAATGATAACCCACGGGGAGGGCAAGTGAAGATGAGAAATCTCAAGCCCCGTTTTCCTTTCATGTATTATTTTAAAGCTTTAATAGCAATTGTCTAGAAGTCCTACTAATCTGTCCCCCTCACCTTTTCTTCCCTTTACCAAGGGCCTGAAGGCCTATTTCACGGAAGCATTCTCTAACACACTGAGAATGTCAGCAGTTTCCAGGGACAATAAACTTGACCAAAGCATAAGCACTATTCTGCTGGAAGAGCAGCCCATCTCTGAAAGGGAAAGAGATCTTCTGTCTAAACTCATCGAAATGAAGCATGCATCTCCCTTGGAGCCAGAATCATTAAAAGAGGTAACTAACTTTATGCCATCTATCACATGGCCTTGACTAACATGGACTGCTTCACAGAGTAAATGCCTCAGTGTATTCTGATATTTCTGACCTCCCACATGGTACGCTGCCTTGACATTCAGCCTGCTTCTCAAGTCACATATGACAATATTTTTTATTTGTTTTGAAACAAGGTCTCGCTCTGCTGCCCAGGCTGGAGTGCAGTGGTGACATTACAACTCACTGCAGCCTTGACCTGCTGGGCTTAAGTGATCCTCCCACCTCAGCCTTCCAAACAGGTGCATACTACCATACCTGGCAAACGTTCATATTTTTTTTGTAGGGACAGGGGTTCGTCAGGTTGCCCAGGCTGGTCTCAAACTCGGGCTCAAGCAATCCACCTGCCGCAGCAATCCCAAAGTGCTGGGATTACAGGCATGAGCCATGGCACCTGGCCTCATGACAGTATTTTTTAAATCCTATTCTACAGGGCAGACAGTAGTTACATGACTGAGTCACAAGGAATACAAATGTGGGTTAACTTAAGTGTCTCATTAACATAGTATGAATAATTAAGCAGAATTCCATCTGTAAAACTCATTCTAACTTTAGATGCCCAAGTGGCAGCATGTTTACCCAAACTTACAGTGTGCTGTTTTCTGTGCAAGCCTGATAATGATTTTTTTTTTTTTTTTGAGATAGCATCTCTCTCTGTTGCCCAGACTGGAGTGCAGTGGCACAATCTCAGCTCACTGCAACATCCACCTCCCAGGTTCAAGCCATTCTCCTGCCTCAGCCTCCCAAGTAGCTGGGATTATAGGCACCCGCCACCATGCCTGGCTAATTTTTGTGTTTTCAGTAGAGATGGGGTTTCGCTATCTTGGCCAGGCTGGTCTTGAACTCCTGACCTTGTGATCCACCCACCTCAGCCTCCCAAAGTGCTGGGACTACAGGTGTAAGCCACAATGCCAGGCTGATGATGATATTCTTAATACCTTGTCAAAGCACTTTTGCCAGGTGCAGTGGCTCACACCTGTAATCCCTGCACTTTGGGAGGCTGAGGTGGAAAGATCACTTGAGCCCAGGAGTTCAAGAACAGCCTGGGCAACACAATGACACCCCATCTCTACAAAATAAAAATAAATTACCTGGGCATGGCGGCACATACCTGTAGTCCCAGCTGCTCAGGAAGCTGAGGCAGAAGGATCCCTTCACCCCAGGAGTTTGAAGCTGAGGCTGAAGTGAGCTATGATATACTACTGCACTCTAGCGTGGGCAGCAGAGTGAGATCCTATCTCAAAAAATACAATAAAGCACTTTAAAAAATATATATATTTCAGCATTTTAACTATTAACGCAACTCCAACCACACTTTCCTTCTCACTGTTCAAGCACACTGGAGACACTCCTAAGAGTTCCCTTTGCCAGAAATACTCTTTTTCCTAGGGCAGTGCTTTTCAGTAAGGAGCAATTTTTGTCCCCTATGGGATATTTGGCAATACCTGGAGATGTTTCTGATTGTCATGACTCAGGGGAGGGGGTTGCCACTGACAACTAGTGGGTAGAGGCCAGGGATACTGCTAAACAGCCTACAATGCATGGGACAGCTCCCAGAGCAAAGAGTTACTCATGCCAACCCTGATCTACCCCCAACTCCCTCACCTCCTTCTTATCTTTGTTCACCTTCTCAATGAGGCCTACCCTGACTATCCAATCTTAATTGGCAACTCTCTTTTCCCCCTACTTGGCAGGTTTCTCTTACTCTACTCATTTTTCCTATATTCCTTCCTAACACACTATGTAAGTTACTTATGCTTGTTATTACTTTCCTTCCTCAGCTAGAATGTAAGCTCCATGAGGGCAGAGGTGTTGGTTCCATTGCCCAATGTAGACCATATGCCAGGCTCACAGTAGGCTTGAGATGTATTTACTGTAATAATGAATAGATTTATATGGACCTTGAGGCAACATACTGAAGTCACAATCTATCTGAGCTAACTATAAGACAGATAATAGCAAACATTACATGTTTGCCATGTGCCACACACCGTGTTATGATTGAGAGTTTTACATGCATTTCATCTTCTCATTTAATCTTCTCATGCTCTTATAAGGTGAAAGCCACTTTTATTTCTAACTTATAGATGAGGAAACTGAGGCCTAGAAGTGTTTAAAAAAGAAACTTGCCTAAGATATAGTAACAGTTGTGGAACAGGAATGTTAGTCCTCCAACAACCACCATCTATGAAGAGATCTCACTTTATTTTAAAAGAAAAATTGTACTTTGTACTCTCAGGTCCACATTGTGGCTAAGAAGACCCAAGGGTACTTAAAATAAATGGTAACAAGGGTGTTAACTCCTCCACATTCCCTACAGTATGTTAAGAAAAACAAAGATCTTCTGCTCTTCACCAATATGGAACATTTCCTAAAAAGCATCCTTGCAGCAGAACAACGAATCCTAAGAAAACCAAGAAATCAATTTGGGAGTGAAGATAAGGTGAGATACCCTTATGATCAACAGCATTAAGATGATAATTAGCTATATGCCAACTATTTATTATTGTGTTTGGGCCATATTTATAACTGAACATGTCCACAGAACAAAAGGTTGGAAATTAGTGATGGTATGAAAAAGTGTCATCACTTCCTTTAAGAGCTTCCCCAACACCAATTGAGAGGGTAGATCTCAGATTTCAGAAAAGACCCAAGAGAGAAAAAGAGTTCATTCCTTTCCCTTCAGGCAGGTAACATATTAATCCTAGAGAGAAGGAATTGAGGATCAAACTTGCCCCCATTCATCAAGCTGGAGGAGAACAAAAAGTAGCTACAACATGGGTCCACTGTCTTCTCTCATTCAGGGTTTCTTCCACTATACCACAATGATACCAACTGCTGTTTTACAAAAGTTTGTTTTTAATCCTAAGCATTTAATATGTTGTATCTTCAAGAATCAAATGTTTTGGTTCCAAATCATCACTAATATTTTGTAAGGTCAATGGATAATATTAGCAAACAGAGAATCCCAAAGTCTTCACCTTCCTCGTGCGCAGTGGGAACTCAACATGTCAAGATCACGATCAGAAACTAGCAGCCTAGAGAAATAACCAGGCACTGACTCCTCCTGGGGCCCAATCCACTTTATTTAAAGTTATTGCCAGTGTATGGGATGAAAACTTTTAAGCCTTTATTAAAATAACAGCTTTAAAAGTGAACAGATAATAAATTTATACGACAATGAATTGGCCAACATGAATACTCCTGTATAACTAGCCCCAGATCAATAAATAAAACATGACTGGTTCTCCAGAAGCACCTTATGTCTCCTTCTAGTCACTTCTTTCAAGATAGAGTAACCACCATCCTGACTTCAAACATCATAGTTTTTGCTTATTCATGAACTTCATATAAATGGAATCATAAGATATGAGTTACTTAATTGCTTATTTTGCTCCACTTTCTGAGAGTCATCCACATTGTAGCATTCAGTTGTAGTTTGTTGATTCTCTTTGCTGCAAACTATTCCATTGTGTGGATACATTACTACTTACTCATTCAACTGCTGATGCATATGTGGGTATTTCCCAGTTTGGGATTATTACAAAACAGGCTTGCACACCTTCTGGTGATGATATGTAACTATATTTTGCCAAGTACATACTTAGGACTAGAAATCCTGGGTCTTAGGACATGGATATGTTCAGTGTTAGTAGATACTACCAGCTAGAGTTCTGAACTATTTACTGCTGCCAGCAGTGAAGGGTTCTGGTTGCTTTCCATTTCTAACAGCAGTTAGCATCTTAAATCTTTTTTTTTTTTATTTTTTTCTGGTGTGTGGTATTCTCAATGTAGTTTTAAATTTCCCTGACAACCAGTTAAACTGAGCATCTTTCATGCTATTATACCATTTAGATATCTTCTCTTGTAAAGTACCTATTCCAGTCTTTTGCCCATTTTCCATTAGGTTGCACCTATTTTATTCTTGATTTGTAGGAATTATTTATTCTGCAATTATATCCCCCATTTTGTGCACTTTTTATAAAAATGACAACATTTATCTTTTTCCATTTTATTTTTAGATCTAGAAAGAAAATGGTAATCTCATTTCAGTCTGCGTGATCAAAAGGTATTAAATACATAAGTACAACATCTGATGAAGCTGATAAGAATTATTGAAAAATCTATAATATTCATGATAAATCATGTAAATGTATATTATAATTTTCAGTGTCTATATAATAGGGGCTAGTATTTGCCACAGAAGTTGAGGACTCCTGCTCATTATGACCAAAATTTTTAGTGTGACTAAAAGTTTAGATCACATATCTTATTAAAATATATATTAACAATATTGACTAAAACTCTAGAAATGTAAAATTTGTATATGCCATCATTTAAGCAGGCTAAGGTTATTACTGAATCACAAAGCAGATGGATATATGTGCACAGTAGTTGGTGATCTAGAATGTGTACTTAAAATATAGGCCATGTCACACAAAATTCACTTTGGAGGCCCTGGTTGAAACACCACAAAGAGATAAGTAGTCATCTGAAAGTGAAGTTTAGGAGTGATGATCAGGCAACACAGCACCATCACATGAATTTAAGTTTAAAAAAAAAAAAAGCTCAAATACAAACTTCAACTCAAAAGCCTACTCAGATTACAAAGCCAATGCTTGAAATTCAAACTGCTTCTCACATGGCTAATTCTCTTTATTGTGCTCTGTATTCATCTGTTCCATGCTGCTAATAAAGACATGCTTGAGACTGGGTAGTTTACAAAGGAAAGAGGTTTAATTGACTCACGATCTCACATGGCTGGGGAGACCTCACAGCCATGGCTAAGGGCGAATAAGGTGCAAAGTCACATCTTACATATCAGCAGGCAAGAGAGCTTGTGCAGGGGAACTCCCATTTATAAAACCATCAGATCTCGTGAGACACACATACATACACACAAACATTTGTTAGTAAGTCTCCTAAGCAATGAAAGAAAGATAGACTACTGAAGAATTAAAGCTTTCTTCTTAAAAATATATTTGGGTAGATAATGAATGATAACTAATTTATGAATTCAGTGTCCATCTGGTATTCAACATTTTTAGCTCTGTAGGTCTTTTACCATAATTAAGAGGTGTCCATACATTGCTGAGGATTTAAGCTGTCAATCCAACTGATCAAAATATGAATGATAGATTACTTTCAATAAAATAAAAACACTGAAATAACATGAAAAGAAGATGTACAATTAAGTGCAACAAGGATTTTTAAATCAAGCCATCAGGAACATCTGCTCAGAATCAGCTCACTACATCTAGCTCCTCTATTTTGAGTTCTTTGTTGTTAGGATTGGCTACTTAGTCATCTTAATTCAGCTTAAATAGTTAGATTAGTCATCGAGTGAAGTAAGTACCAAATGTGACAGCCTTAAAAATACCTCATTAGTTATCATTTTGATTGAAATCGTGCTTTCATGGCACAGATACTAATAAAATGGTAAAATGGTAGTTGCCCATAAGAGTAGGTATGAGGTAGCTGTCTTCCCTTCTGTCCCATTAACAGGGAATTCTTAAACAGAGCACACCCCCAAACCAATGCATAACTTTATAAAATTAAAGACTCTCTAGTACTTTGAGAAGAAGACAAGTCTTAGTTTGATTAATATTGGGTACGTGTCTTCAAGAACTTTATTTATCTACCCACATAAATTATGAAATGTATTTCCCAGAAAGCAGAGTGAAGATTAATTAAGCCAGCCACACAAGACTATTTAGGATAGTTAAGCCAAGAGTCCAGGGCCTCTGGGAGAGGTGGCAAAGAAAAAGTAGTACGGAAATTAAAGACGTTTTTTCTATATTCCTCATTCTTGGCTGATCAAGGCAGCTACCAGGACATGTTCCTATTAATTTCCTGGCTGACTTCTTGGGCCCTCCATCTTATTTCCATTAATACACTAACAGCTGCAGGCTTTTAGTAAGCACATGCTTCTTAATGGAAATGCCACAGATTACAAGACAGGGATAATGTTCTCCTTACTGCTGCATTATGCATTTTTATTTCTGAATCAAATCAATAGCAAGTTCTTTTTTTAAATTGACATTCTAGTTTTCTTTAAGGAAAGAGCTTGTGTACACACACATACAGCTCACTGACTAGAAGACAGATAAGAAAATTGCAATAAATATAGAAGCCATATTTACCAACTATTATCAAGAAAACCTTTTCCAAAAATATATTCCATTGTCTTATGATGTATTATTTCAAAAGTGATACATAGAATTTTATCTTTGAGTCAGATGGAATAGGCGTTTTTTCTCTACTCCTCCCACTAAGAGCAACTAAAATCCCTGGGCAGTACACATAAAAGAAAGATGAGAAGACTCTGAACAGTGTAGAGAAGAAGGCAGACTGGCTAGGGAACCTCAGATTCCAAGGGAGGATACAGAGGTGAGTTCTACAGATTTTCTTTCCCCATCGTATATTCCAGACTTGGAAATAAAGAAGCCAGCAATCCATAAAAGCCAATGGTCACAGACCAAAAGAGACCACAGAAGCCTGCTCCTTAGCCAAAGGACCAGGAAAGGGACAGCACAGCAAAACAGAAAACTTTAACAATAAACCCTATGCACTAGCAAAACAACAAGGAAAAATTGGCCCCACCCACACCAGCATAAGTTTGAATGGGGAGTCCCGAGCTCCATCTTTGCCAGGATGGATCAAGTCATCCCAACCTCCTGCTGGGTTGGTATCAGAGAAGACAGAGCAGACAGCTGGGAATTTTCATCCCCACAGGGTAGTCCCAGACCCTCTTCCACCTCATGGTGTCAGTGGAAACCACATGGAAAGTCTGGACATTCCACACCTAGCAGTAATAACCTCTCCCCTCCCCGATGCTGCTTCCAACACCACTACCATTACCTCCCTGCTATAGTGAAATCAGAGGAAGACAAGTAGAGAGTTAGGGCTTATGCCATTGTCCAGTGATAATGAGGCCACCCTGGCCACAGTGTTAGTGGAAGCCACATAGTGAGCTAGAACTCCAATACCTGAGAGACCCTTCCTGGGGTATTAATAGAGGCCACCAGAAAGTAGTAAAGCAGCACTCCCTTCTCTCCTACACTTTCAGCTGGTCAAAGGAAACCAGCTGAAAACAAAGTTTAAATATAATCCCAAGTCTCATAATATCAAAAGTATCAAAAATCACTCATCACACTAAAAATAAGATTTAAAAAAAGTGAGGGATAAAAACCTAATCAACAGATTACAACACCAAGATGACAAAGATGTTACAATTATGGCAAAGATTTTAAAGGAACATCAGAAAAATGCTTCAACAATCAATTGTGAACATGCTTGAAACAAATAAATCTCAGTAAGGAATGGTAAAGTCACAGCAAAAAATTAGAAGACAGAACTAAACAAAGGTTTTAGAGCTGAAAAATGTAAAAACTAAAATATGAAGCTTGGTGGCTAGGCTCAACAGTAAAATCGAAGGGACAGAGGAAAACCATCAGCGTTTTTAGATAGAATTATTATTATTCTATCTAAAATTATTTAATCCGAATGAAAGAAAAAAGACTGAGGAAATGAATAAAATAGAGCACTAGGGGCATATGGTATTACAGCAAAAGATGGGGCATTCAAGTAATCAAAGACTCAGAAGGAGAAAAGAAAGGGGCAGGCTGAAAAAAAGTACTCAAAAAGAGAATGGCTGAAAACTTTCCAAATTTGGAAAGAGATATAACCCTACAGATTTGAAAAGCCGATTGAATCCCGAACAGGAAAACACAAAGAAATCTACACCAACATATAATTATTAAATTTATGAAAAACAAAAAGCAAAGAAAAAATCTTAAAAGCAGCCAGAGAAAAATGACACCCTACTTCTAGAGGAAAACTGGAATGACAGCAAGCTTCTTATCAGAAACCAGGATGCCAGGAATAAGTGACACAATATTTTCCTAATACTGAATGAAAACAGCTGTCAACCCAGAATTCTATACAAGGGGAAATATTCTTTAGGAATGAGAAGGGGAAACAATACATTCTCAGATAAATCAAAGCTAAGAATAAGCCGGGCACAGTGACTCATGTCTGTAATCCCAACACTTCAGGAGGCTAAGGCAGGAGGATCACTCAAGCCTAGGAGTTCAAGACCAGCCTAGGCAACAGAGGGGGACCCTGTTCTCTACTTTTTAAAAAGAGCTAAGAATATATTAAATGTACCTAACCTAAAAGAATGGCTAAATGAAGTTCTCTAAATAGAAGGGAAACAAAAGAACGAACTTGTAACATCAGGAAGGAAAAGAAAACACAAGAAGTGAAATTGTGTTATGAAATATGATAGACTTTCCTTCTCTTGAGCTTCTAAATTATGTTTAATAGTTGAAGTGAAATTATAACACTGTCTATTATAGTTCTAAATATATGTAGACAAAATATTTAATGCAAGTATATTATAGATGGAGGATGATAACAAAACAAAGGGAAGTAAGGTGGGGTTTGGTTTTGTTTTTTTTTTTTTTACTGAGACAGATTCTTGCTCTGTTGCCAGGCTGGAGTGCAGTGGTGTGATCTTGGCTCACTGCAACCTCTGCCTCCCATATTCAAGCAATTCTTCTGCCTCAGCCTCCCAAGTAGTTGTGACTACAGGTGCATGCCACCACACCCAGCTAATTTTTCTATTTTTAGCAGAGACAGGGTTTCACCATGGTGGCCAGGATGGTCTCAATCTCTTGACCTTGTGATGCCTGCCTAGGCCCCCCAAAGTGCTGGGATTACAGCTGTGAGCCACCGCACCCAGCCTGGGAAGTAAGGTTTTTATATCTTACCTGAACTTATAAAATAACACTGGTAGACTGTGACAAGTTACATACATATAATGCAATACCTAGAGCAACCACTAAAAAGCTACACAAAAGAATATGCTCAAAAACACTAAAAATATGCCAAAATGAAATTCTAAAATGTGTTCAAGTAACCCACAAGAAGGTAAGGAGAAGAAAATTGAGAAATGAAAAAGAACAGAAAACAAAAACTAAATGGCAGACTTAAGGCCTAATGTATCTATAATTGTAATAAATGCAAATAGTCTAAAAACACCAATTAAAAGACAGAAACTGGTAGAGTGAACTAAAAATAAGACTCAACAATATGCAATCTGTAAGAAACTCACCTCAAATATAACAAAATAAGCATATTGAAAGTGAAAGGATCGAAAATATATACTATGCAAACATTAATTAAAAGAAAGCAGGAATGGCTATATTAATATCAGATAAAACAGACATCACAGCTAAGTAGATTACCAGAAACAGGAACATTATATAATGATGAAAGGGTCAATCTACTAAGAATACATAGCAGTCCTAAATGCTTATACACAACAGAACTGCAACACATGTGAAACAAAGAGAAACAGACAAATCACACTTATAGTTGGAGACTTCAGTGTCTCCTCTCAGCAATTTATAGAACTAGAGAGAAAATCAGCAAGGGTATAAAAGAAGTCAACACCATCAATCAATATTATCTGATTGACATTTATGGGACATTTCCCCCAACAACAACAGGATATACATTCTTTTCAAGTACCCACAGGATATGAAT